GCCCCAGCCGCGGATGACATTTAACCAGCCACCACCTCCTCTCACTCAATTTTCTGTTCCGAACCAAGAAGCCTCCTGTTAAGAACAGCCTGAGGAATGATAACATCATCACAGCCCTGCTTCTCTCACTTAATCAAGAGGATCCCTTCGTTTCCTGTTTAATAAGTGGCACTCCTACAAAATGTTTAGTAAACACCAGCGCAAGTCGCTCTACTCTCCGAGCTGAAGAATTTTCTACAACCCCCCTCTCCTCTGCTGTTGTAAACGCTGTAGGAATTTCAAATCAGATAGTTCCTCATCCTGTTTCCCAACCCTTACATATTTCTCTTGGCCCTGTTTCTGATCAACATGCCTTTCTCCTCAGTCCTCCTTCTGTTAATTTGTTAGGCAGAGATTTGCTTTGTAAACTCAGCTGTACTATTTATTGTTCTCCTAATGGTGTTTATTTAGATGTTCCCTGTGTTAATGAAATGGCTGTACTTGCTACCCTAGCTAGCTCACCTCCTGAGCCTGAGTCCCCTAATCTTTCTGTGTTACAAGAGGAAATCATAAAGGCTGTCCCTCCCTGTTATAACGGCCCTTTTAAAACCCAGCTAAGCTGTTACCTAAAGTCGAAGAGCCCTTGTAATACGCCTATTCTTCCTGTAAAGAAACCTGAAAGAATACCTATCGCTTTGTACAAGATCTCCGTGCAGTAAATTCTGCAGTTTTACCTACTTTTCCTGTTGTACCAAGGAAAGCCTGGACTTAGCCCACATGAAATCCTGATGGGAAAACCCATGAGGCTCCCCGCCTCACCACCTGTTGCCTCCCACTTTTGCAGTATACATTTACTTGATGATACTATTTTAGACTACTGTACGGCACTAATGAAGTGTGTTAAGGCTTTTCATTCACAGGTACAAGCAGCTGTCCCCAAGGAACCAGATGAGCCATGCCATTCCATGCTGCCTGGTGACTGGGTTCATGTAAAAGACCATCAACGGAAGTCATTGCTGGAACCCTGCTGGAAAGGCCCATTCCAGGTACTCCTGACAACCAACACTGCAATAAAGTGTCAAGGACTCCAACCGTGGATCCACGCTTCACACACTAAGAAAACATCAGCCCCATTAGACCTTGAGTCTCCCCCATATCAACCTTGTAATCAGCCTCCACAGACTGGTAGCGAGCCTAACGCCTGCCAACAAGAGAGCTCAAGACCAGTAGTAATCCAAGCGCCTACTGGCTGTCACAACCCAAGGGGGTGATTTTGTGTGTGCGCACTTTGGCACTGCTAAATTATTTCCCGCCACGAGGAGCTTTCTTTGCAGGGTGCATTTCTCAGTTACAAAGAGAAAACCCCGGTGCAAAGGAGTTCCCGCCACCCGCATGCAAATTTGTGTCCCACTATTGGCCAGTTCTAAATTATTCCCACGTGGCGGCTAGCGATTGGCTTGCTAGCTGTATAAGAGGCTTGAGCAGTTTCCGCCCAAGTTGGAGGACTCCACAACCATCTCGTGGAGGAGGAGGACTTCACGTCTCGTGAAAAACTCTAAGTGCTGCGGAGTCTAACGGACCCAGCGTGCGCCTTAAGAAGGCTATAGGGGTCTGATCAACCTCTGGCCTCTCCCCACTGCAACGCAAGCAAGTTTTTCCTGCCTGCACCGCGACCATCTACGGTGTAAGTAAAATAATCTTTAATCAATCGCTACGCGTCCGTGCCTAATTCTAGTCCGCCGGCCTGCATTCCCTGACCCGCGTGCCAGGGCTGCTGGCCACAGCCCGCCGCACGCCCCCGAGGGCCTCAGACCGCTCCCGGCCCGCACACTGGCGAAGAGGGAGCGAAGAAAATGTACCCCAATGACACCACTATGCCCTTCGGGAAAGGAAAAAGGCCTCTACCTAGTTCCTGGTTCCCGAGGTGGGGTTAGTTAGTCATGACTCAAGTACTGCTCAGTCTTTCCTTTTGGATCATCTTATATGAACTTAAAGACTCACCAGCTAAAAGAAACTTTGTAAATCAAACTAGACTTCAAAACAGGTCAAAAAGATCACTCCCATACTGGCGTGCTCACCAAAATGCTTTTCTTTAACTGTCTTATCAATATGCAAAGGATTTAAATGTTTCTAAATGTTGGGTATGTTCCCACTTGCCTCCTAGTACAATAACAAAGGTGCCCATAATTGCTTTATCCCTTAATTGGACCGACTTTTGTGATATGTATATTAAAATAGCGAAAAGGTAAAGAGAAAGAAAAATTAGAAGTTAAAAGCTTATG